ATACATACATATATATATATATGCGTGTGCATGTGTGTTTGTGTTTGTGTGCGTATTTGGGTATGTGTGGTATGTGCGCCTAGGTGTTATATATATATGTATATATATTTATGTGTGTGTGTGTGTGTGTGTGTATTCGTGAGGCTAGGTTGACCGAATGTGACCACGAGAGATGGAGGAGAGGGGAGAACGCGAGGCATGTGGCATCATAGAATGGCCCAGTATTAACAAAACGCTCTGCCATCGAATGGATTCACCATTTCGCCCCCAGACAGCAGACCGATCGCAAGACCCCTTTTGTCGGAACAAAGAAGCTGTTGAAGCAGTGCCGCCGAGTATGATGCCGCCTGCATCTGGGAGTTTGGGCGAGATGATTCACTGACGACGTCTAGTCACCGCAACTCGAAATGTCGGCCTACCTCTGTCTCCGTTTTAGGCTATTCAGCAAATACAGAAAGACAGTGTCTTCTAACGGCAACTGGGTCGTCGGGTTGAGTCCACTTGGGGGGCGTCATTTTGGAGGTCTTTTCGTCTTTAAGCCTTAACGGTCGGATGTACGTTCAGCAGGGCTTATTTGCGAAGAATCGGCCTTCTGTTCGAGGGCAGAAGAGACGCGAAGACCCAAATGGACGGAGCTCTGCAGGCGAACGCAGCTTTCGAGTCCCGTCGAGGTCTAACAGGCAGCAGACGCTTCTCACCCCTTCACATGCCAGGCGGATGCAAAGCACAGACTAACCTGCTATGCCGGATTCGACGAGAAAATGAAGCACAATCACAGCAATTGCAGAACCCTCTTCAGGCAAAAAGAGCCCAGAACAGTTTTCCGAGACAAGAGGCTCAGCCTAGAGCAATGATTAGAGCAATGGCTGTCAATATTTTGATCCCAAATAAGTCTAATGAATTGTGATAACAAAATGAGCTGCTAGTGCATATGGAAAATGTCGCCTAGGCAACTGGATTTAATAGAAAATATCAGGAAATGCATGTCCGTGTTTCCTAGCTCCAAGTAGATCTTGGTTGAGAACTGTACCTACTCTAGGTAGCATAAGGTGGTGAAAAACTGATTATTGGACTTTTCCAACAATTCTATGCCAATAAATCGTACTTCGCCCTGTCCCCCAAAAAGGTGCTCTCACCTT